CCATCATCATATTATCACTCCTCCTCCCTCTCCTCCTCAACCGCCCAATGGCCTCCAAGACGCGACAAGAGTCCTCCAAAAGTCCTCCCAAGAGGGCCTCAGGAGGGCCGCAAGAGCAAAAATAAGTGAGTTCGCTGAGGTGTTTGAAAGATGTTGACGTTGTTTGCCTGTTGGGCTTCCCGACGCTACCAGACTGCACAAGAGGCCCCAAAAACCACCCCGAGACGGCCCAAAAGAACTCCAAGCAGGTCCTAAGGCTGCCGAAAAGCGCCCCGAGACGGCCCGAGAGACCGTGAAATACGGCCCAAGACGGCCCCAAAAGGGGCCCCAAAAAGGGCCCAAGAGAGGGAACGCGAACCGAAAGTCTGGGCCGTCCGCCCTAGGAGGCCCCCCAGAGGCCTCAAGAAGCGCACACGAGGCCCCGAGAAGCCCCCAAGAGGGCCCCAAAAGGCAAAAGTCTCTGACTGTTCTAAGATGGTCGAAGGATGTTGGCGTTCTCGCCTGTTCGGCTTTCCGATGCTTCAAGACGGCCCAAGAACCCCCCCCAAGACCACCCTTAGACGGCCCAAAAGGACTCCAAGAGGGCCCCAAGACGGCCGAAGAGCGCCCCAAGACGGCCCTAAAGGCGGCCAATACGGCCCAAAAGGGCCCAAAGATGGCCAAGAGAAGAAACGCGAACCGAACATCCGAGCCTTCCGCCTCAAGGAGGCCCCCCCGGAGGCCCCAAGAGGCGCCCACGAGGCCTCAAGAAGCCCCCAAGAGGCCCCGAAAGGCCTCAAGAGACCCCAAAGAGGCCTCCAGAGGCCCCCAAGAGGCCACAAAGAAGCTACAAGAGGCCCAAAAAGGCTCCCAAGAGGCTTCTTCAAAATTGCCTCTTAGAAGCCTCGAGAGGCCTCCCGCGAGATCCCAACGAACATCCAATAGGTACCGTACCCACAACCCAGGCACGGTGACGGCATGGGCCGCAGGCCATTCGATACGATTTGAGTGGACGCCAGCCCACCGCGATGCCGACTGTGTGCTGGACGATCCTCTAGAGATGGAAGAAACGGCTCGGCAACGCCTGGGCTGGATACTTCGCTCAGGCGGGAACGGCCCAGCACCTCATCGCTAACATGCTGAGCCAGAATGCCTCGGAGGCCCCAAAGATCCAGGAGGCTACACCGGACTCACTTCTATAGCGCTCACTTCTATAGTGCTCACTTTGAAATTGTGGTCCGGAAGGGGCCGCACATGCAGGCACATGCCGCACAGTCGCATGCACATGCCCATGCAAATATACAAAAGCCTCAACAGCATTGCCGCACATGCGCGCACATGCCACACCGTCCGACGCACAGTCGAATGCACGGTCAAGCAAAACTCTGAAAGCATAGACGCACATGCCCGCACATGCCGCAGAGATGTCGCAGGCGATAGTGGCCTGACCACCTGAGCTCGGGGCATTTCGCAACCCAGAGTTCCGAGGATGTCTCAGGCAAGCGTGGCCGGATCACCATGGGGCAGGGCATCTTGGAAACCAGAGTGGCGAGGATGTCGCTGGTCAAGGTGACCAGACGACCATGGGGCAGGACACCTCCGAGGTCTGAGTTGTGAGGATGTCTCAAGCGAAAGTGGCCTGACCACCATGGGGCAAGAGATCTCTGAGGTCAGAGTTGCGAGGATGTCTCTGGGGAGAGTGGTCTGACCACCTCAGCCCAGGGCATCTCGGAGCCCAGAGTTGCGAGGATGTCTCAGGCAGGACTGGCCTGACCACCTGCTCAGGGCATCTCAGAACCCAGAGTTGCGAGGGTCTCAGGCGAAAAAGGCCGAGACACTATGGAGCAGGGCATCATTGAGGTCAGAGTTGCGAGGATGTCTCAGGCAAAAGTGGCCTGAACAGCTCAACTCAGGGCATCTCGGGCGAGGATGTCTAAAGCGAAAGTGGTCTAACCACCTCAACTCAGGGCGTCTCGGAACCCAGAGTTCCGAGGATGTCTCAGGCGAAAGGGGCCGAGACACTATCGAGCAGGGCATCATTGAGATCAGGGTTGCGAGGATGTCTCAGGCGACAGTGGCTGACCACCTCAGCTCGGGGCATATCGGAATCGAGACTTGCGAGGATGTCTCAGGCGACCGTGGCCTGACCAGCATGGGGCAGGAGATCTCTGAGGTCAGAGTTGCGAGGATGTCTCAGGCGAAAGTGGTCTAACCACCTCAGCTCAGGGCGTCTCGAAACCCAGAGTCCCGAGGATGTCTCAAGCGAAAGTGGCCGGGCCACCATAGGGCAGGGCATCTCAGAACCCAGAGTTGCGAGGGTCTCAGGCGAAAAAGGCCGAGACACTATGGAGCAGGGCATCATTGAGGTCAGGGTTTCGAGGATGTCTCAGGCAAAAGTGGCCTGAACAGCTCAACTCAGGGCATCTCGGGCGAGGATGTCTAAAGAGAAAGTGGTCTAACCACCTCAACTCAGGGCGTCTCGGAACCCAGAGTTCCGAGGATGTCTCAGGCGAAAGGGGCCGAGACACTATCGAGCAGGGCATCATTGAGATCAGGGTTGCGAGGATGTCTCAGGCGACAGTGGCTGACCACCTCAGCTCGGGGCATATCGGAATCGAGATTTGCGAGGATGTCTCAGGCGACCGTGGCCTGACCAGCATGGGGCAGGAGATCTCTGAGGTCAGAGTTGCGAGGATGTCTCAGGCGAAAGTGGTCTAACCACCTCAGCTCAGGGCGTCTCGAAACCCAGAGTCCCGAGGATGTCTCAAGCGAAAGTGGCCGGGCCACCATGGGGCAGGGCATCTCCGAGACCAGAGTTGCGAGGATGTCTCAGGCGAAGGTGGCCAGATCACTTCATGTCAAAGCACGTCGGCCTCCAAATTGCCGACGACGTCTCACGCGGAACTGGCCGGACGCGAACGCGCCGGCGTCCGGAGACGAACGCCGGCCCCGGCATTCTTGCACGTCCCGCACATGCACTGCACAGGTACGCACAGTATTCGCACAGGCCGAGCTCGCCGGTGGCCGAGCCAGGCCAGCGATTCCGAGATTCCCTGAGCTCGGGCCGTCAAGCCACTTTCGCCTGAGACAGCCTCGCAACTCTCACCTCCTCCTCCTCCTCCTCCTCCTCCTCCTCCTCCTCCTCCTCCTCCTCCTCCCTCCTCCTCCTCCTCCTCCTCCTCCTCCTCCTCCTTCTCCTCTGGCCGAGCCGAACAGGCAGGCTGGCCAGTGGCCGGGGGCGCCCGCCTCCTCCGCCCCCCCCTCCTCCCCCCCTCCACCTCCCCCCCCCATCCCTGCTTCTCCGGCCGAGCTGAGAAGGCGCGCGGGGAGTATTTTATTAGGCGGGCGCGCCACCGCCAGCTCACGAACCGGGCGAATAACCGCCCCCGCCAGCAGCGGGCGAGTCTAAACGCACAACAAACTCTTTCAGGAAGCCCTGGCACGCCCCAGGTTAGCTCTGCGAAGGCCAGGAGGCATTGGAGGCACAGGGGTCCCAGACAGCTCCTAGGGCATGAGCGTGCATGTGCATTGGGATGTGCACGCATGTGCGCCCGCGCGCTTCACCGCATGTGCGTGCATGTGCGGGCCCGCGCGGCCTCCCGAAGAGAGGTTGCACAGGCATGTGCGTGCATGTGCCGATGACAGATCTGTGATTCTCGAACACCTCCCGCATGTGCAGGCATGTGCGCGCATGTGCGTCGGACTGTGCGTGCATGTGCGTATGATGGATACATCAAAATACAGCGCACATGCCCCCGCACATGCCCGGGCACGACGTGCACAGTAGGAAGTCCATCCAAGAAGGACCGCACAGGCCTGGCACATGACTGGCACATGCCGCGCACATGCGCGCACATGACAGCGCAAAAACGGCCGCACATACACCCACCCAGGGGTATAGATGTGAGTGCGGTGTACCCCCCAGTTCGTCGCATGGGCTTGCTCGAAAGGGCGAATTCCTGGGGTCAAGGGCCCCCGCCGGTGCCTACTCCGTCGGTTGAGCTGTCCAGGCAGATCGCTGCCGGGCGTGAGAATGCTCATGACCGCTGGCAGTCTGGCAACTTGAAGGCTTGGAGGTGCGGGTCGTGTGGGAGACTCGCCCGATCGGACTCGACCCTGGCCTGGCTTCGCACGGGCTCGGGCAGGAGATGTGTCTTCTGCCATCCAGCGTGCGGCCAGTGCTGAGTCTGGTTTTTCGAACTTCGAGAGGGTGAGGTCTAATGACCCACGCCTGGCAGCCTCTCTGGTAGAGGTCGCGGCGTTCCTGGAGGAGGGCCCGACGGACGCCCAGCCCGTGCCCCCGCCGACCCTGGGGCCGCTCCGAGGGATCTCGGGTCCGTGGGGGAGCTTGGGGCCTCAGGATCCCAAGGCATCATGGCCGAAATCGCGTCACTCGAGCACGATGTGTTGTTGCTTTCGGAGTGTTTTTCTTTCTGCCGTAGATGCGCGGGGGACCACCACGGCCGAGACGGCCCGTAATGCCCGCAAGCTCCGTGTCCTCTGTGCGGGGCTCGCGGCAGTGGCGAGCACCCGCATCAATCAGTTGGCTGTGATCGACAGGACCTCTCGGGGAAATTACTGATCCGCGCCAAGGGCAGCGCCAGGGGCCCCTGGCCGAACTCGTCTTGTCTCCTGGCTTGTTTCAAGGGTGTGGGCACTCCCTGGCCCCCCGCCTCTGGTCCCAGTCTCTTCCCAGCCGCTGCGCGGCCCCTCAGGGTTCTCCCTTTCCTGGAGCGTGCTAGGCCCAGACGCGCTCTCAGTGGCCCTCATCCCTCATCCCTCATCCCTCCTCCTCTGTCACGGATCCCTCCCTGGGACCATCCTGGCAAACTTGTCACCGAGGATCCATGTCTCACGGTCCCCAGTCCGAAGTGAGCCCCAGGATGCCAGCGGTCTGGCCAGAACTTCGAGGCGAATCCTGCCGTGGCGACACGTGCTCTCCAGGACGAACAGCGGCGTCGATGCCTTGTCCCTGCTGTGGGCGACGGTCGACGGCGTCGACGGCGGCGGCGCGGCCACGCCTGCGCCACGTCGCCGCGGGCCGCCGCGCGGGCGAGCGCCCACGAGGGCCCGCCCTCAGAGGGGGGACCAACTCAGGGGGAAACATCGAGCTGGAATCGGCGGTGCATCGCCGATAGATCGGCGATAGGCCACCGATAGCGAGATCGGCCGCTCAGGGGTGGGGGGGGGAGCTATCGGGACTACATAGGCGATGAGTGGGCGATTGGGGGTCGACACATCCCTCCCTGAACCAGTGCTCCTCGTCGTCTCGCCTTCGGATCGTAACTTCTGGCTCCGGCGGCCGTTCGGGGCGATCTGGCCACCCCCAGACACCTCTCGGCGAGGCGCAGCTGCTGGAGGGCATCCCGAGGCTGGAAAACCGCCGAAAAGCACCGAAACCGTCCGGAAGCTTCGAACCTCGCGACAAACACCGGCAGCCGCAGAGACCTGCCGGCGGCCGCTGGCGGCCGGCCGCGGGCGCGACCCAGGCCATGCGCACGCAGGGCGTAGGAGGAGGGCAGGGCGGAGAGGAGAGCAGCCCTGCGGGGTGGGCTGTCGGGCCCCTGTCGGCGACGGACGTGGGACTGGGGGTCGACGCATCGCCCCCCGAGCCAGTCTCGTCCAGGTTTCCACGACTTCTGCAATCCTTCGACTCGCGCTGGAGCGGCCACGATTCGCTCTGGACGTGCTTGGCTTTCCCTGGACGTACCTGGGCTCACCTCAATGTATCAGCACCGACCTGGACTTGTCCAGCTTGATCCCCAAGACGTCAAAAGTCAAACTGGATTCGCCCCCGAGACCCGATTCATATCCAGCTTGACTCATCGATTGGCGAGAGGTCGTCAAGCCCTTAGACGGTGCCCCCGGCGTCCTCGCCGCGCGGCAAAGGCGGGCGCCGCAGCGCCTCGGCGAGAAGGCGCAGCTCCTCGGTGACGCCCGCCTGCAGGACGCAGCCCTCCTCCTGCGGCACCAGCAACGAGGGCGTCGGCGGCTCTGAGTAGGTGGCCTCCAAGACGGCCGCGGCAGGCCATCAAGGCCGCCAAGATGCTCCAAGATCCCTCCGAGACGGCCCCTGAGGGCTCCAAGAGAACCTCCAGGAGGGCCCGAAGAAGACTGAGTCATTGATTGTCCTTTAAATGTTTGATTGGTTTTCGCGTTTTCACCTTTGCGGGCTTAAGTTACTTCAACCGGCACACGAAGCATCAAATATGGTCCGCAGACGGCCAAAGAGAGCATCAAGATAGCCCAAGAGGCCGCCAAGACGGCCTCAAGATTTCCCAACAGAGCTCCACGACGGCACAAGGGGGCCCCAAGCGGGCCCGGTAAAAAACCACAAGAGGGCCCCAAGACAGAACAAAGAGGCCCCCAAGACGGACTCCGAAAGCCCTAGATGGCCGAAGAGCGACCTCAGATGGCCCAAGGAGCCCCCAAGAACCTCCGGGGCGCCCCACATCAGCATCAGCACGACGTGCATTACCACATTCGTCCGCCTGAATCCGCATCATCATATTCTCGCATTGCTCGTCATCCTCATCCCCATCAGCATCGTCAGCATCACCATCAGCATCATCACCAGCACCATCATGATCATCATCATCATCATCATCACCACCACCACCACCACCACCACCACCATCATCATCATCATCATCATAATCATCATCATCATCATCATCATCACCACCACCACCACCATCATCATCATCATCATCATCATCATCATCAACAACAACATCAGCATCAGCATCGTCATCATCATCAGCATCATCAGCAGCATGATCAGAACAATCAGTATCATCATCAGCATCATCAGCATCAGCAGCAGCAGCATCATCCTCAGCAGCAGCATCAGCATCAGCAGCATCGTCAGCATCATCATCATCATAATCATCATCATCATCATAATCAGCATCATCATCATCATCATCATCATCATCATCATCATCATCATCATCATCATCATCATCATCATCATCATCATTATCATCGCAGTATTCAGTCATCCTCATCATCATCATCATCATCATCATCATCATCATCAGCATCATTATCATCATCATCATCGTCATCGTCATCGTCACCGTCACCATCACCAACGTCGGCGACGTCGGTATCGTCGCCGTCGCCATCGCCGTCATAGACAGAGCCACACTATGAATCACAGTCGTACGCAACATCACCACAACCATCATCACAAACAGCATCGTTATCGTTATGGTGTTCTGGTTATCGTCTTCGTCGCCGTCGTCGTCATCATCGCCATCACCAACACGACACGACGCGGAAGAAAGCATCACATGTCACTGCTCTCGAAAACCTCGGGCCACGAAGCATCTCACGTTACGGCCTCCCGTGTCCCCCTCCCGTATCCCGTCGAACATGCTGGCCCAGCACGGACGCGGGACTTGCCGCAGGCAGCTCGATACCATGGCCCGAGGCTTGTCAGAAGCGAAGGGAACCACAACTGCCCCACGCGGCTCCCAAACGCGGATCAGCCAGAGACGGCGTGGCTGACCCCCGTTAGCACTTTTCTTTGTTCGTACAGGGTCCCACGAGCTCTGGTTTACTTACAATTTTTCGTCCCGGATAACTTTGTTGACGATTCCCGGGCCCGTCGAGGGCCACCAGAGGCTGGAAACGACCAAAAAACGTTGATAGTTGTTCGCATCACGTTGGAGATCTAGGGACGGCAGGTTCGTGTCGTGTCGACCGCGGCGCCGGTTCCTTACACCGCAGGCATCGTTCAATCTTGAACGATCGGCCGTTTCCGAAACGACAGATCGTTCAACATGGACCGGGTCGTGGTTGCCAGCGGCGTTCAACGTTATGAAAAGCTGGCGGGGTCGCCGCCGGTCGACACGACACAGACCTACCGCACGTGAGCCCCGACTGGGAGCAACGCCCAGGGGCACGGCGAAGGGAATCCTCCAGACTGCGGGCGGCGGCGGCCTCGCCCACGCTGGCAGGCCCCCGCGGCAGCGCCGCGGTCGACGCGCCATGGCGCCGCGCGTCGGCGCCCCAGAGCTCCTCCTCCACCTCCCCGGTGCAGTCCTCCGCCAGGAGGAGCCCCGGCGCCTCCTGGGAGATACGGAAAGAGAGGAGGAGGATGAGGAAAACCCTCCTGCTCTTCCACATGCTCCTCCTCCTCCTCCTCCTTCTCCACCTGCTCCTCCTCCTCCTCCTCCTCCTCCTCCTCCTCCTCCTCCTCCTCCTCCTCCTCCTCCTCCTCCTCCTCTCCTCTCCTCCACCTGCTCCTCCTCCTCTCCACCTGCTCCTCCTCCTCCTCACCTGCTCCTACTCCTCCTCCTCCTCCTCCTCCTCCTCCTCCTCCTCCTCCTCCTCCTCCTCCTCCTCCTCTTCCTCCTCCACCTGCTCCTCCTCATCCTCTTTTCCTGCTCCTAAATATATTTCGTAGCCAATTATTATGATATACGGGTCATACTATTAATATGGCTCATATTAGCAGCATTAGTAGTAGCAGTAGTAGTAGTAGGAGGAGTAGTAGTAGTAGTAGCAGTAGAAATAGTAGTAGTAGTAGTAGTAGTAGTAGTAGTAGTAGTAATTGTTAGTAGTAGTAGTAGTAGTAGTCGTAGTAGTAGTAGTAGTAGTAGTAGTAGTAGTAGTAGTAGTAGTACTAGTAGTAGTAGTAGTAGTAGTAGTAGTAGTAGTAGTAGTAGTAGTAGAGTAGTAGTAGTAGTAGTAGTAGTAGTAGTAGTAGTAGTAGTAGTAGTAGTAGTAGTGCTAGAATTACTATTAGTAGCAGTTGCATGCATACAAGCTGCATGTTCACTATTACTAACATTGGCATTGATAGCTTTATTATTAGTAGTTGTGTGACTGGTAAAAGTATTATATGGAGTATGGATACAAGTAGTAGAGTTAGTATGTGTGCTCGTACTATTAATGAGATCATGAACCGTAGTTTTATGAATGGTATGGTATTAGCCTTGGCGGGATCATGTAGTATCCTGAGTAGTGGTATTATCACGATTCGTATGTGTAGTATTAACATGTCACAATCATTAGTAGTATTAACCGTAGTAGTAGTAGTAGTAGTAGTAGTAGTAGTCGTAGTCGTAGTAGTAGTAGTAGTAGTCGTAGTAGTAGTAGTAGTAGTAGTAGTAGTAGTAGTAAGAGTAGTAGTAGTAGTAGTAGTCGTAGTAGTAGTAGTAGTAGTAGTAGTAGTAGTCGTAGTAGTAGTAGTAGTCGCAGTTGTAGTAGTAGTAGTAGTAGTAGTAGCAGCAGTAGTAGTAGTAGTAGTAATAGTAGTAGTAGTAGTCGTAGTAGTAGTAGTAGTAGTAGTAGAAGCAATAGTAGAAGCAGTAGTAATCGTAGCATGGTATTCCTGAATAATCGAGTGAACCGTCTGATTATGTGGATTATCATTGGTATTAGTTGTTGTACTATGACAAATCGGATGAAAATTAATGTGCTGGATGTTCGTATTCGTACTATCGTCCGCCTTACGACTGAATGGGTTACGAATATGATGGTTCTTAGTTCCCGTTTGATTAGTACTAGCATGAGTAATATGTGTCTTAGTGTTAGTAAGACTCGTATTATTCGTGATAGTACTACTTATAGTATCAGTATCATTAGTATTCGTCGTCTTGCTATGTGTCGTCGTCTTCGTTTCCTGTCAGTATTGGTATGCGTGCTACGTCTCTTCAGATGAGTCTGTTCGTATTGGTCGCACTACTGTTACCATTACGATCCGTATTATTAGTGTGTCTTCTTATGGGTACTCTGAATAATATCAGGAGTGAGAGTATCTGGCCTATCATGAGTATGATCAGTCGTCTGTTTATGGTTGTTCCCATCATTTCTCTTGTTTATATATATATATATCATATACGTATTACGAATAGTGTAAATATGATAGGAATATAAATACCTATATTCCTTAATCGTATTAGTATTGTTATGATTAAAACGATTCGTATTATTACGGCTCTTCTTATTATTTGTCCTCCTCTTCCTCCTCCTCCTGCTCTTCATCCTCCCCCTCCCCCACTGCATTCCTGAGCCCCGGCGCCTCCTCGCTGGGGCCCAGGAGCTCGCAGCCCAGGACCCCCTCGCGTCGTAGCAGGAGTCAGGACGGAAAATGTTGCGCTACTATCGGCCTCTGGGGCTCCCCGCTGGGCCTCGGGATCGTCAAAGAACGACTCACGATAAAAAGCCAGTCACCAGGAGGGAAGCCCAGACCTCTCAGAGTCCATGTCATGGTGAATCGCCATCGGATCGGAGACGGTTGAATGCGCCAGCGAATCGACCACGAAGAACTTGAGGGTACTCCTCCAAAGCAAGGGTTATCATTGACCCTCATGCCAGCTCTACTGATACACGGCCTTCAGGACAATATCCTAGCACGAGCATCCCAGCAGACCCGAAAACGAACGACTAACAGGGCACGTCGAAGCGTGGCTGCGAGCTTGACAGGGCGGTCGTCACTCAGAGAGGGCGCCCAGGTGGACAAGCCGCTGGGCATGCGCACGAGCGTTGCTAGAGGAAGGCCTGGTGTCAGAGGGTCCCGATGGGCCAACACTCGGCGACACGCCGAGCGGGAAGTGAGAGGAGCAAGCCCTCTCCAAGGCGGCGGGGCTTCTCAGAAGCCCTCCGCGGCCTTCTCAGAAGTCCCATGCAGCTTCGGAGAAAGCTTAGAAAGATTATCAGAAGGCTAGAACTTTCTGATCTTTCTGAGAAGGCCCGCCCCCTCTGCCTTCCCCTTGGGCGCACCACCCGAGCTTTACCAGCGCCAAACTGGTCAAAAATCCAGTGTGTGTGTCTCCTCGACCACCGCCCGTCTCTGGCCGGTCTCGTCCCGCAATTTGCGCTGCTGGCCACGCGAAGAGTAGGCTGGTCGGTCTGCTATATGCTCTACTCTACCCTTCTCTACTCTACCCTACCCAAACGTACTCGACTCTACTCTAATCGACTCTACTCTACTCTACGCCATGTTCCTTACTGGTATGTCCGCCACCGTGCCCCTGGGCACGGAGTGGGCGTGTTCTCAGGTCCTTTGCCAAAAATCCCTGGAGCCTCAATCCTCAGTCCTGAGGGGTCTTTCAGGGGCCAGGACACGAGTTTCCAAAATGTTGCGGGGCTGCCAGCGTGCACCCTGGGCTCCGAGAAGTGTCCCCGCATGACTTGTTCGGTCCCAAGGTGGCCCCCGAGACGGGCCAAGAGGGCCCCCAGTGGTCTCCAAGACGGTCCAAGAGGGCTCCGAGACGCCCAAAGATCGGCCCAAGACGCCCAAAAATAGCCTCACAACGGCCCAAGAGGCCTCCAAGACGCCACAAGAGGCCTCCAAGAGGCCTCCCAAGAGGGCCACAAGAGGCAGACATCGGTGATGTTCGTTACGTGTTTGAAAGATTTGGACGTTCTCGCCTTTTCGGTTTTCCGACGCTCAAAGAGGGCTCAATAGGCCCCCGAGACCGCCCCAACACGGCCCAAGAGGCCTTCAAGAGGCCTTCAAAAGGCCTTCAAGAGGGCTCCAGAACGACCCAAGAGGGCCCTAAGACGGCCCAAGAGGCGCCCCGAGACAGCCCCAAACAGACTCCAATAGTGGGAGCACGAACCGAAAATCTGAGCCTTCCGCCCAAAGAGGCCCACAGGAGGCCCCAAGAGGCGCTCGCGAGGCCCCAAGAGGCCCCCAAGAGGCCCCCAAGAGGCCCCCAAGAGATCCCAAGAGGCCCCAAAACAGCTCCCACGAGGCGTCCAAACTGCCTCCGAGAGGCCCCCACGAGATCCCTACGGACATCGACTAGGCATCAGACCCACATCCCAGGCACGGTGGCGGGATGGACGAAGGCCATTAGATACTCACCCTCTGCCACACACAGGGCCGATTGGGACGGATCCGAGAAGTCCCATTCTACCTGGCAACATGCATACATAATCAACGCTCGTCGTCTCGTCATGGGCAGTGCGTCGTCTATGGTGCAAACCGCTTGGCAAGAATGGGACGGGGCCGACACGTCGCTATCGTGTCAGCGTCGCGCCCATCGTTCTAGAGAATCGGACTGCCGCTTGGTCGCGGCGCACATTTTTCGCACGCAACTTGTCGCCGCGCGAGCGGGCGAAAGTGTCCTTCTCGCCTCGGCGCCGCGCCGGTTTCGCCTGCTGGTGGCGCTCCCGCCTCGACGCGGCGGGTTTGCTTCACTCGCGACTGCTATGGGGTCCCGCGCGAATGGGCGACCTGTCGCCCTCGCCCAAACTGCGTGCGCATTGCGCTCAGAGGTGGCGTTCCAGCGCGGGCGCGGCGCATTGCCGCATGGCTCCTTCGCCGAATCCCCTGACGGCGACGGAGGCAGCGGGGACGCGCGAGTTCGGGCGAAATGCCGACCTCGCCCAGGCGCCGCGCAGTTTTTCAGTGAAAGCGGCACTGCGGCGCCTGCGCGGCGCACGCTTCGTCCTTCGCCGCGCCCATCGAAGGGTTGCTGCTCCCGCCCCTGCGCGACCCGCGCAGTTTTCTCTTCGCCGAGTCGTCGGGAGCGGGGCCGCGCACGAGCGCCTTCCGTTTGCGAGATGGGGTTGCGTTCCAATCCCGATGTCCAAGTGGGCCATGATTGAGGCTTGTGCTCTGGGAGGGAGGGTGGGAGCAGGCGGGGCCCGCTGCCTCGCTCGCCCTGCCTGACTTGACTCTACTCTACTCCGACTCTACTCCGACTCTACTCCTGCTCTACTCTACTCCACTCTTACTCCACGCTACTCTACTTGACCCTACTCTACTCCACTCCAATATGCTATCATCTACCCTACTCTACTCTGCTTTACTCTACTCGACTCTACTCTACCACCCACCCTACTCTAGTACACGCTGGTCTACTATGGTCTATTCTACCCTACCCAACCCTACCCTATTATGCCTACCCTACCCTACTCTACTCATACGCTACTGTTCTACTCTTCTATATTCGCCTCTGCTCTGCTCTGATCGAGTCTACTCTACGAAATCTAGCCTGGGGCACCCCACGGGCACCCGGGCCCCGGGCACCCCCGGGCACCCGGGCACCCGGGCGTGCAGCGAAAATCGGAGACAAACCAAACCTAACCATATGAATCCGCTAGGACCCCTACAGAGGCAAGCTCTGATTGGGGATCAACATAGTTTTGTAGATGTCCGTCTGTCTGCCTGCCTGCCTGCCTGCCTGTCGGTCTGTATGTATGTCTGTATGTATGTATGCATACAGACATATATACATATGGATACATCGACGCCTGCGGGGCATCACCGCCCCCCCTGCCCTTTGAAAGCGCCTAAGTGACCGAACGTTATGGCCAGAGCTCGGCCAAGCTATCGGTAATGTGTTTCCCTGGCCATTGTGGAAACTCTTCGGGGAACGCGTGGGGGAGAAGAAGAGAAGGAGATCTTGTCGGGTCTTCCTGGAGATTATCTCGGAGGCCGCTTGGGCCGTCTTGGGATTTCTTAGGGCCATCTTGGGTTCACCTTGGGCCGTCCTGGAGACACCTCGAGGTCACCTCGGGCCCTCCTGGGGGCCGCTGCAGCCGCCCTGGAGGCCATCTTGGGGCCGTCTTGGAGGCCACCTTCGGGCCGTCTGGAGCGCGAAGGCCGGCGACCTGGAAGTGTCCGGGTCCTATAGGGCGCTGGCGGGATCGGCTGAGACCCCCCCTGGGAACCCTCAAAGAAGGACAAGCAAACTACCTCTAAAGTTTTGCACGCGCCGTGCACCCCTGCGGCACGGGGCGGCGCATATCGTGACGTTCGGCCTATCTCGCCGCCGTGTCTGGGTCGTGCATGCCTCTCGGGGGCCTCCCGGAGTGCTCTTGCGGGCCTCTCGGGGGCCTCTCGGGGCCTTCAGGGGGCCTATTGGGAGTCTCTTGGGGGCCTGGTGGGGGCCTCCTGGAGCCCCCTTGAGGGCCTGCTGAGGGTCTCTGGGGTAATTTTGGCGCGGAGGGCTCGAAATTGCAGTTCGTGCTCCTCTTGGGCCCGTCTTGGAATCCTCTTGGGCCGCCTTGGGGGCTTCTTGGGCAGTCTTGTGTCCCTCTTGGGCAGTTTTGGTGCTGTCTTTCGGGTCTACTGGGCCGCCTTGCGGGGCGATCTTAGTCTCTTGGGCCGTCTTGGAGCGTCGGGAGACCGAAAGGGGAGAACGCTAAACTCCTTCAAACAAGCAGGAAGATCACACATCTCGGTCTCTTGGGGCCCTCTCCGGCGGCCTCTCTTGGAGCCTTCTGAGGGCCTCTTGGGCGCCTCTTGGGCCGTCTGAAGTCCATCGTGAGCTGTCTTTGGGCTCTCGTGTGCCGTCCCGGCGCGAAGATCTTCGCGCAGTGGGTGCCCTCCCCCCTCCGCCTTCGCTCCGAGGCCGCCCTCTGTCCTGCCCACTCTCGTGCTTCTGGACACCTCGCGTGCTTTGCCCCAGCTGCTTGAGCGTTCGAGCGGATGGCCTCTGCCGCGCCGCGACAGAACAAAAAGTGCCGTCTCGGCACCCTCTGGAGACCGCGTGCGGCGCTCCTCGGCTCGCGGGGCTCTCCTGTGGGCGGGCCCACCGTCCTGGGCGGGCCCACCAGTCACGCCCCAGGAGCGCCTGGTGATCCCAGGAAATTCGTGGCGCTGGCCTGCAAACTCCCAGGATGTAGAGTCAACCCGCGCAGTAGGGATGAGCGACTTTCCAAGGCTACCCTTACATCCTTCCCCTTCGGCCCATCCTTGGCCGCTTTTGCTGGCCGCACCCCGCTCGCACAGGTCGACATGGCCTTCCAATGCCCGTGCATCCTTATCGTGCGACCTTATTATTCTACGGGGGGTGACTGTACAATCCTTCGTACTCTCACGATGTATGAGCCCCGGGCCATTCCACTGCGTGCTGAAGTCCCAGTGGCGGACCTTTCTTGGGCTCCTATGTGGCACTGTTGGGGTACGTTGGGCCGTCTTGAGGCCCTCTTGGGCCGTGTTGGAGCTTTCTTGGACCGTCTTGGGGTGATTTGGCAAATTTGGGGCCCTCTTGTGCCGTCCTGGAGCCATGTTGCAAGCCTTAAGGGCCGTCTGGGCCGTCTGGATATGCAGGAAGCTGGAAAAGGTGAACGGGCCCAAATCGTTGAAACACCTTTCTGGAACATTTGGTCTCTCCGGGCCCTACTGGGGTCCTCCTGTGGCCCGCCTGGATCGTCTTGGGGGCCATCTTGGGCCGTTTTGAGGCCAGGGGGTGCCCGGGGGTGCCCTATAACCCTATAGCCCTAAGCCCTATAGCCCTATAGCCCGATAGCCCAATAGCCCAATAGCCCTATAGCCCTACAACTCTACAGCCCTATAGCTCTTTAGCCCTGTAGCCCCCTAGCCCTATAGCCCTGATTGGGTTTTTTCTCCGGTACCATACATTTAGATAAATAGATAGACATATAGAAATAAAGATACATAGATGGATAGATATATATATATATATATATATATATGTATAGCTATATGTATATATAGATAGATAGGTATATAGATAGATAGATAGATAGATAGATAGATTGATTGATACATAGATAGATAAATATATAGATAGATCGATCGCTATATAAATAGATAGATAGACAGATAGATAGATAGATAGATAAATATATATATAGATAGATAGATAGATAGATATATAGATAGATAGATAGATAGATCGATCGATCGATCGATCGATCGATAGATAGATAGATAGATAGATAGATAGATAGATAGATAGATAGATAGATAGGAGAGAGAGCGCGTTTCACGGGCGTTTGCCTTGGGAACATTCGGCGGCGCGTTTCGAACCGGGGAGTGGGCCCCCCCCCCCCCAACACTCGGCGCCGTCGATCAGAACCAGGGGGACCCCCTTCCCCCCTAACCCCCCCCCTCCCGAACCCGCCCCCCTCCCAAAGTGGGGGGGGGCAGGCCAAAGCCCCCGCTTCCCGGCGCCAGCGCCGGCGGACGCCGCAGAGCCAACGCAGCGACGATGACCAGAGAGGGCCCAGGAAGGGGGGCGGGGGGTTCAAACCCTCCCCCCCGCGCCGGCGCAGGCGCCGGCGCTGGCGGCGGCCAGCAGCGCCGACGGCGGGGACACAGCGACGATGACACGAGAGGGCCCAGAGGCCGCAGAGGGAAGACACAAATCGCCATATCGAGCCCTCGCATGCTCCTCAGACGCCCCCGAGACCCTCCTGACGAGACCTCAAGAGGCATCCATCAGAACTCTGACCCTTTACCAAACACAGTGGCGGGAAGAGCCGAAAGCCACACCACCACCACCACCACCACCGCCACCATAGACCACCATACCACCACCACCACCGCCGCCACCACAACCACCACCAGAACCACCGCAACCCACCATCACCACAACCACCACCGTCACCACAAACCACCTCACCACCACCACCACCACCACCACCACCAAAAACGCCACCACCACCAGAACCACCACAACCCACCACAACCCACCTTAACCCACCACAACCCACCACCACCACCACCACCACCACAACAAACCTTCACACCATTACCACCACCGCCACAACCCACCACCAACACCACCACCACACCACCACACCACCACCACAACCACCACCACCACCACCACCGCCCACCACCCACCACCCACCACCCACCACCACCACAAACCACAACACCACCACCACATCGCCACCCCCACGACCACCACCATCACCACCTCAACCCACCACCACCACCACCTAACCACCACCAGAACCACCACCACCACCACAGCCACCACCACCAGCATCACCACAACAGCTCACCACCACCACCACCATCACCACCATCAATACAACAACCCACCACCACTACCACCACCATCATCACAATCTACCACACCACCACCACCACCGCCACAACCACCACCACAACCACCACAAACCACCTCACCACCACCACTACCACCGCCACTACCACCACCACCACCCCCGCCGCCACCGTCAGCCGCCGCCGACGCCAGCGCCGGCCCGAGGAGAGGGAAAGAGGCGAAATAGGGGAGGGGGGCAGGAGGTTTCGAACCTCCCCCCTCCGTCACGGGACGGGAGGGGGTGGTGCGGGGGGGAGGGGGGGTCGTACCCCCCCCTCCATCCAGGGGGGGGGGTCGATTCCACCCCCCCCCCTCCAAGCGACCACAGAACGCGCTCTTTCATAGACAGATAGATAGATAGATCGATAGATCTATCGACAGATAGATATATCTATATATACATGCAGATAGATACACCGATAGATCTATAGATGCAGGTATGTGTGTGCATTCCTTGAGCTTATCGATGTACCATATTCGACACATATACACAACATATATGCTTCCTTGCATATATGAGCAAATATGCATATCTATCGATATATATATATATATATATATATATATGTATATATATATACACACATACATACCATACACCTGTAGGTATTCTTCCACACAAGAAAGAACTCGAGGTCTGCGAGCGAGAGGTCCGGGTCCTCGTCCTCACCCTGCGCCCGCCCAGGAGCCGCCGCCCAGGCGCCCGCGCCCGGAGGCAGCAAGGCGGGCCAGCCGGCTGGCAGCGCGCCGTCACCGGGGCGCGCGGGGTCCTGCTCCGGGCCGCGGTCGGCTCTTGGGGGTCTCCTGGGGCCTCTGGCGGTCTCTCGGGAACCTCCGGGGCCGCCCTGGGAGTTCCTCGGGGCCTCCTGGGAGGGATTTGGAGGCCGAGTGCACTGCGACGGGGGGCTCTTCGGCCAAAACGTTTCACTGTGGTGTGATTGACCGCCGTTGGCTGCATGAGTCCAACCAGCCCTCTGTCCGGGCGTAGGAAAGATAGCGTGCATCATCGGTCTCCGAAAAGCACGCAATCCTTGTGAGGCGATCCCCCCGCGAGGGCCCCTGCTGTGCACGCGTTCCCCCTGCCGGGGCTTCGGGCTTTTTCGATGCGTGTCATCCCCAAGGTGGGGGATAGCATGTGATAAGCGGGCTGGCGGCGCCAGTTTTCCAACGCCAGCCGTAAGATGGTCCAGGAAAAAGTGGAACGTTAGGAGGGGACCAGCTCGGGGGGGAGAACATCAAGCTGGAATCTTCGATGCATCGCCGGTGGAACGGCGATAGGCCCTCGATAGCGAGACCGCACTGTCCTGGGCGGAGTGGGCTATCGGGCCCCTGTCAGCGATGAATGGCAATTGGGGGTCGATGCATCTCACTTTGCGCCTGCCCCACCCGGACGTCGCCCCCGACAGGAGGTAGCCATCGGAGCGGCGCCAGCCGAAGCAACAGCGCCCCCCCCAAACGACGACAGGAGGCTTCCCCGTGTTTTCGGACTCTGGAGGCCCTCGCCCGACCCCAGGACCATCAACAAACTGGTCGGGATGAAAAACGCGTCCCTGGGGAGGTGTCCCAGGGAAACCACGGTGCACCCATACCGCTACTCCCCAAACCTCTCCCGCGGTGCGTTCTGACCAGACCTTCGATGCGAATCCAGCGGTGACGACGAGGGCCTCCCAGGAGGCACAAAAAGGGGAGAGCGAGGGAAGCGTAGCGGTATCGGCACCTTGTCCTCCTCTGAGGTCCAGTCTTCTGGTCCACGTCGTGGAAAACGCATCTCGGCGGACGTCAGGCTTCGGTCGGGTACGTCCTCCTACAGGCGGATTTCGAGGGGAAAATGGGAAAATGTCAAAGCATGGTCAAACATATATATATATATATATATATATATAAATATATAAATATACACATATATATATATATATATGTATAGATATACGTACATAATTTCCCACACATGCTTAGTGGGGTTTGGGCTTTCTTCCTTCCCGGGTCGCACCCGCGTCTCCTCCTCACCCCTCCTCCTCCTTCTCCTTCTCACACAGCACAGCGCAGCGCAGCGCAGCGCAGCGCAGCACAGCACAGCACAGCACAGCTCAGCACAGCACAGTTCTGGTTTTCATCCCTGTCGCGTCGCACCCGCGTCTCCGGCAAACACACACACACACACACACACCTCCCCCTCCTTCTCTTTCTCACACAGCACAGCGCAGCACAGCACAGCGCAGCACAGCACAGCACAGCACAGCACAGCACAGCACAGCACAGCACAGCACACAGCACACTGGCACACACCACCATAGGGGGTGCGCAGAGGGGGTCTCTCACCGCGGCCGCTATCCGCGACGGTCATCCAAGGCACAGCAAGCATAGCAGATTTTCGACACCACACGGGGTGCGCAGGGGGTGGTCTCTCACCGCGGCCGCTATCCGTGACGGTCGTCCATGGTACAGCAATCATAGCATATTCTCGACACCACAAGGGGTGTGCAAGAAAGGTCTCCCACCACGGCCGCTATCCGCGACGGTCGTCCATGGCAACGCAGGCATAGCATGTTCTCGACACCATACGGGGTGCGCACGGGGTGATTTCCCACCGCGGCCGCTATCCGTGACGGTCGTCCAGGGCACAGCTGGCATGGCATATCCTCAGCACCATACGGGGGTGCGCATGGGGTGGTCTCTCACCGCGGTCACTATTCGTGACGGTCGTCCATGGCACATCAGGCATGGCATATTCTCGACACCGTAAGGGGTGCGTAACGGGGGGTCTCTCATCGCGGCCGCTATCCGTGACGGTCGTCCAGGGCACAGCAACCATGGCATATTCTCGACACCGTCGGGGGTGCGCAGGGGGTGATCTATCGCCGCGGCCGCTATCCGTGACGGTCGTCCATGGCACAGCAGGCATAGCAGATTCTCGACACCATTGGGAATGCGCACGGGGTGGTATCTCACCGCGGCCGCTATCCGCGACGGTCGTCCAAGGCACTGCAAGCATAACAGATTTTCAACACCATAAAGGGGTGCGCAAGGGGTGGTCTCTCACCGCGGCCGCTATCCGTGACGGTCGTCCATGGCACAACAGGCATGGCAGATGTTCGACACCACTGGGGGTGCGCAGGGGGTGGTCTATCACCGCGGCCGCTATCCGTGACGGCCGTCCATGGAACAGCGAGCATGGCAAATGCTCGACACCATACCGGGTGCGCAGGGGGGGGGTCTCCCACCGCGGCCGCTATCCGTGACGGTCGTCGAGGGCACAGCAAACATGGCAAATTCTCGACACCACAAGGGGTGCGCAGGGGGTGGTCTCTCACCGCGGCCGCTATCCGTGACGGTCGTCCATGGCACAGCAAGCATGGCATATTCTCGACACCATACCGGGGGTGCGCAGGGGGTGGTCTATCACCGCGGCCGCTATCCGTGACGGTCGTCCATGGCACAGCTGGCATGGCATCTTCTCGACACCATTGGGGGTGCGCAGAGGGGGTCTCTCACCGCGGCCGCTATCCGCGACGGTCATCCAAGGCACAGCAAGCATAGCAGATTTTCGACACCATACGGGGTGCGCAAGGGGGGGTCTCGCACCGCGGCCGCTATCCGCGACGGTCGTCCATGGCACAACAGACATGGCAGATGTTCGACACCACTGGGGGTGCGCAGGGGGTGGTCTCTCATCGCGGCCGCTATCCGTGACGGTCGTCCAGGGAACAGCAGGCATGGCAGATTCTCGACACCATAAGGGGTGCGCAGAGGGGGTCTCCCACCGCGGCCGCTATCCGCGACGGTCGTCGAGGGCACAGCAAACATGGCAAATTCTCGGCACCATGAGGGGGTGCGCAGGGGGTGGTCTCTCACCGCGGTCACTATTCGTGACGGTCGTCCATGGCACATCAGGCATGGCATATTCTCGACACCGTAAGGGGTGCGCAGAAGTGGTCTCTCACCGCGACTTCTATCTGTGACGGTCGTCCAGGGCACAGGAAACATCGCAAATCCTCGGCACCAGAGGGTGTGCGCAATGGTGGGTCTCTCACCGCGGCCGCTATCCGCGACGGTCGTCCATGGCACAACAAGCATGACATATTCTCGACACCATAAGGGGTGCGCAGGGGGTGGTCTCTCACCGCGGCCGCTATCCGTGACGGTCGTCCATGGCACAACAGGCATGGCATGTTCTCGAGTGCGCAAGGGGTGGTCTCTCACCAATGCCGCTATCCGTGACGTCGTCCATGGCACAGCAGGCACGGCATATTCTCGACACCATAGGGGGTGCACAAAGGGGTGGTCTATCACCGCGGCCGCTATCCGTGACAGTCGTCCAGGGCACAGCAAGCATAGCAGATTCTCGACACCATAGAGGGTGCGCAGGGGGTGGTCTCCCACCGCGGCCGCTATCCGTGACGGTCGCCTATGGCTCAGCAGGCATGGCATATTCTCGACACCATAGGGGGCGCGCAGGGGGTGGTCTCTCACCGCGGCCGCTATCCCTGACGGTCGTCCAGGGCACAACGGTATCGGCGGGGCAACGGCCACCAACATCATTATCACATGCTTCACTTCAGCTATCATCACTCCAGCCATCATATAAGTATGCGGGGTTCCTCGGTAGCGTAATCACTTTGTACAACCAACAACTTTGGAAACACAAAGATTATGAATATTCCTCCTCTAGGGGGTCGAGTCAAACCCGACTTAACGTCAGGGCTCGGAGGAGGGCGTGCCTCTCGGTTCTCTCTGGGCCTCCGGGCGGCGGCTCGCAGCCACGGCTGGATCCGCATCGAAAAACTGAGCAGAGCGGACCCCGGGAGGGGTCTCACAGGCCTCCCGGATGGGGTCCGAGCAGAGGGGGTCGGAGGCTTGCACCGAATCGCCGATGTATCGGCGATGCATCGGCGATGCAGCGGCGACGTCGGAGTGTAGAAAATCGGGCTCCACATCGAGCCGCATCCCCGACGCATCGGCGATGCGGCGCGATCCCCCGAACTCATCTATTCCGACCCCATCTGGAGGGCCTACAAGTCTTGGGGGGGGCGCTTTTGAGCGGAGCTGAGCCAGGCGAGAGAGCCACCACTATCTCAACTGGCCCTCCTCTGAGGCCCCCGACCTTCACGGTGTCGGGACCCCTTCCCGGGGACGAGATTATCATCCCGAGTTCATGTTGGTCCTCCCCGAGGCCTGGCGAGGGTCCCCCCGAGGCCGAAGAGTCGCCAGCCCAATGGGCCAAAGACGTGACAGCATCTTCGATGAAAAATCTACAATGTCTTATTCGCGCGCGAGGGGCGGCCCCTGAAGTCCCTGAACGAACAATACTCTGGCCTGGCTACCCGTCGGTCGGAAGAAGTGGGTAGAAGCATGGAGTGGGAAAGCGATGGAAGTAGATTGGGCTTCCGCCCGCCCACTTACGAGGAGGCAAGAGGGACAACCACTCGACCCCTGAAATTGGAAGGCGCCTAAAGTATACTCGGATATGGGAAGACAAGAACAACTCCTATCAACGACTGGCGTGTGCTCTGGCCACGGTCGTAGGATCTCCCAGGTGCAGCCTCCCAGGCCTCAAGACCGCCCCAGGCGCTTCCAGCAGGGCCCAAGAGCCGAGAGGGATTGCTGGGACGCCCCGAGATTGCCAGAAGACAGTCTCCCGAATGCCTCAGGACACAGCCGGACCTGGGATGGAAGAACACCCTCCAAGAACACGAGGCCCTCCGCCCGCCCAACCTGAAGAACATGTGAGGTTGCCCTGCCCCAGAGTGAACAAGTACATCCAACAAGCACGAAGAACACTAGGGTACCCTCTCCGAACCGACCTCGATCGTATACCTCGGTCCGACAGTAGCCCCAAGATGGTCCGAGACAGCCTCAAGAGTCCCCAAGGCTCAATTACATTGATTGTCCATTGGATTTTCCAGGATTTCAACGTCACCACCTTCTCAAGCATCTAGTTGCTGCAGACGGGCCAAGAGGCTTCAGAATCAGCTCAAGCAAGCCCGAAAGGCTCCCTGGAAGGCCCCAAAACGGCCAAAGAAGGCGCCAAGACGGTGCAAGAGGCCCCCCAAGATGGCTCCAAAGGCTTCGAGTCTCCCAAAGGCCCCAAGAGGTGGATTCCGAATTCACACAAGCAACGAAAAGAAACGGATCGTACGCAAGACGACTCGGCGACCTTACGCGGTGGCTTACGCATGCCGCCAGCGCACGCGGGCAGCTTACACGCGAATGTCGGTGATGAAGATCTCGTCTTTGTGCGTCGCTCATATGTCGGGCCCTTCTCCCAAAGATGGCCTCAGAGACTGCCAGAAGACCCCCGACAGGCCCCCAGAGGCCCCCAAGACCCCCCCCAAAGAGGCGCCCAGAGGCCCGGAAATTGCCCCCACGAGGCCCGACGACACTCCGGAAATACCCCGCGAGCACGTAGGCAAGTGCCAAGGGTGTTAAAATAAGGACCTGTGGAGTGAGAGAAGCGATTGCATAAGGAAAACCTGTCGTGCACGATCCAGCGCTGGAGTCGCGCGTGCCCCACTGGGGCATGGCGTAGACAGAAGAATAAGAAAAATAGAAAGACGAGGAAACAGCGTAAAAAGAATTGTCGGAACTTCGTCCAGAGTTCTGGGATCGGCGCCGGAGGCGCCGCCAGAGAGGTCTCAGCGCTGATCCAAGAAATCCACGCGGAGCTCCGAAAGATCATGTTTATGCAGTTGTTTTTTCCGCGAGAAATGGCGTCGAGGCCGTGGAATGAATAATTTCGGGGGTAATGCGATGTTGGTTACTGCTTTTTGCTTGCGCAGTGAGGAACTACCCGAAGAAGCCTAACCACGATTTCGTGATCTACATGGTGGTTGGCCCGTAACACAGGAGGTCCACGCAGGACCGCCGCCCGCTAACCACAGTTCAGAGCTACGAAACGATGGCTAGGAATTGTTAATTCATATTTTCATGAGCCAGGCTGTTTTTGCACAGTGGCTCAAACACCAGCGCTCTGACCGAAACTTTGAAAGTTCGAAGGAGCGTGGGCCTGCTTAACGCCTGTCTGTCTGGGAGTCGTCGTCGTCCCTCTTCGTACCTGCCGCCGTGGTCGTCGTCGGCATAGCCGTCGTCCACAGAGGCCCACTCCCACAACCAGACATTCACAACGGAAAGTGCGAGGGAACGAGATACACACATTGGCGACAAAAGAAACGGGCCTTACGGGAGATGGCACGTCGACCGTACAGCGCAGCTTACGCGGGGTGCCAGCGCGGCACGCTACCTTGGAGGCGAAGGCGCTCACGCGCAGCACGCGGGCAACTTACCCACGAATGTTGCCGCTGACTGTAGTTGGCCGCAGAAGCGGCAGGGTCATTCTTCACCGTTTCCGACAAAATGCCTCTCAAGAGCAGGAAGGTGAATAAATGGCAACCGGAAACGACTAAAACACTACCCTGGGAGTGGAACCGGAAGCGGAAGCGGAACCAAAAACAATAACAACGACGGACCTGGGGAAAAACTGCACAACGAACCGGTACAAAAAATGACCTGTCGTTTCCAGGGCCAACTGAGGTGCAAATGGGTCCGCCTGCTTCCGCCGGTCATGTGGGCACCTCCGCGTTCACCACTTCCCTGGAGGCCATGGCCCACCCGAGGGCGTGGAGGCCGTGGCGTGGAGGCCGTGGCCCGCGAGGCGTCCGCGAGGCGCGGCGTGGAGGCCGCGCCCCCCCTTGAGGGCGAGGCCTTCCCCGGAGAGGCCCCGAGGGCCTGCGCCAGGGCGGGGGCGAGCGCCACCTGGGCGGCCCACGCCGCCCGGTCCGCGGCCTCGGCGCGCTCGGCGGCGCGCCGGGCGGCCTGTTCAGCGGCCCACTGCACGGCGAGGGACTCGTACCTTGGAAGGAAGAAGTGGAGGAGGACGAGGAGGAGGAGGAAGAGGAGGAGGAGGAGGAGGGGGAAGAGGAGGAAGAACACGGGGAGGAGGAAAACAATGGGAAGGGGGGGCAGGGGGGTTTTACATAACCATTTTGGTTCAAGGCTCTACCTCTCATGTGCGGTTTGGGTGGGGGGGCAGGCGCCCAGCGCGGCGCCCGGCCGCAGCTCGCGCCATGAGCTGGCGCCGCGGCGCCCGCGACGCCGCGCGGCGGCCGCCCATCCTGGGTGTGAGCAGACCCCAGGCCGCCCAGAAGGCGGGTTGCCCACCTTGCGGGCCGCCCAATAACTCCCAGCGGGCGCGGGACGCCGCCGCATTCGGCCCCACCGCGGCCCGCCGCGTCGCGAAGCGCCGACGCCTGATCGCCGCGGAAACGGCGTAGCTCGGCACCAGCACGGCGCCAACACCAACCACGAACACGACGAGAAGAAGAAGCACATTGTCATCGAGGTCGCCCCGGCCGTGCCACACGACCGTCGGGCCAACGAGGACCGCGCAGCTTGAATACGACGACGGGGCGGAGACCCGAAATGTGCGTCCGGGGCATCTTCAACCCTCGGGCACACCTTCACCCTTGGGTCTCTTGTCGCAGTTAAAGCTCTTGAGCGGAGAACGGCCCCGCGCTCGTTGCGCGAACGGTGTTCCGCCGCGCTTATCGCCCCGACCCAGGGGCGCCCCGCCAGGGGAGCGGTAATCTTCAGGGACTTTGCTTCGTGGGCGACTGTTCCCCTTGGGTTCGCGCGCCATGCTAGGCGCGCGGGAAGACGACCGCGACTTCCCACGAGAAAGCGCCACAGCTGGCACCCCCGTCTTATCCGCGCGGGCGGAGCCACAGGGATCACCGAACCTACACTCTGGCGGGAGGAACAAGGCTCCAGGCTTCTCAAACTTCCCGATCCCAGCGAGCGCCATGCAAACCTGTTGCCCACCCCCCCGCAGGTCACACTGCCGCCACAACATTCCTTCCACAACTCAACCGATCCGGATGGGCCCGGAACACTTTTTTGCGGTGCACTCGCCACGTTGAGCCCAGTCTCCGCCTGCACCGCGGCTCGCCCGTGCTTCCATTGACAATTGTGCCCCGACACGCGTGAAAACGTCGTCGCTCCAGCAGGTTCTGGCGTCTGTCGTCGAAGCGTTGGTCGCTGTTGAAAGTATCATCGCGGCCCATCCTGCAGCGCCCAGCCCACGACCGCACCCGCGTGGCCATGGCCCCCCGCACGCGACCGAAATAGGGCCGCCAGATGGTTATCCGCGGGCGCAAGTGCAGTGCCAAAAACTGCTTCATTTTAACGTTCAATAAACTTGCCGCGGCTGACGCGGGTAAAAAGACAGACGCATCCACTCGGTCCAAGTAGCCCGCAGCCGGCATGGGCCACACAGAGCACTCATGGGCCCATCACCACGCAGTTGCGGCATTGATTTCTTCCTCGGGCGCGTTGAATTTTCTCTCCAGGCCTCGAGGATTTCGCCACGCGCCGTTGCCGCCAGCACACCCAGCGCATCAAGGTCGCCACTGCTGGCGAACAGCTCGCGCGCAGCGCTTGGTTCCTCAATCGCGAGATGCCACCTGAAAACGGTCACCAGGCCTCCCCGATGCCCCGCTGGCCGCCTCGCACACGTCCTGCTTCCATGCTCTGAAGTATAAGTCGCACGGCAGAGCACAGGAGCGAACCCTCCCCTACGTTTCAGCAGCTCTTATTCATCGACGTTCTCGCGACCGCGCCAGTCGCAGACTGGCGGTCGCTAGATGACGCGGCACCTGTTCCCGGCCCATCCATCGCAGACGGCGGCGGCATGTCGGGCGGGGCCCGCGGCCCAAAGATCCTGCGCGGGTTCTTGTCCAGCACGGCTGGGGGGGCATCTGGTCGATCGCGTCGCGGCATGGTTGGCACCCCGCCATTTCCTCCTCAAGGCGGCGCGGCGGCCGGCCTGATTTCTGGATTTAGAACCTGTGGATGCGCCCTTCGAAGTCCCCCCCCCGCTGGGGACTCGGCAGCAGCCTGACTTGCCGCGCGTCGGTCGGGAGTCGGCAGGGCGCCCACCGCGCGCGGGCGAGTGCAAAAGATGAACCTCCAATCGGCGAGCTCCCAAGCCGCGGACGGCAACGGGGCGTCGTCGGCCGTCGCGCCTCGCCCCACGGCAGCTCGCTGCTTCATTACGGTGGTCACTGGCGGCCCGTTAGTTGGCCAAGCTTCCTGCTGCCTACACCTGGTTCCGCGGCAGCCTCATTGCGGGCCCGATCGAAGCTTGAGAGATGCCAATCGATGTTGTCATGCACCTGGTAGCTACGGCTAGCGCCGACGATCTCGCGCCCACTAGATCCATCTACAGACCCTGCATGTTCCCCCGCCGAACAGGAACGGCGACTGCCTTTCCATCACGCTGGCGCTTACGGAACACTGGCCGTCAGCACTGTCGAACACTTCCAGGCAATCGTTGGCAACAGATCTTGAAGTCCCGGATACGACCTCAACTGCTTCAAGTTTTTGCCCATGCCCAGCTATCCGCAGCGAGTTCAGCCCGCTTTGACACGTCGCTACCATGCTGCTCCATGCGTTACGCACTTCTCTGGATTCCGAAAGAACTGCCAAATTTCTTGCTGGTCGGGTCCGACCTACAGATGCTGGAACGGTATTGTGTGTTCTAAAGCACCTCTCCTTTCCAGAAGCTAGGTGACACCCTCGGCCTGTCGCTCGTAGGTCCGTCTGCATGGCCTTGGCACTTGCCGCAACGATCTGGCCCATGACGGCTCTAGGCTATGGGTCAATGCCCTGATATTGTTGCGTTTGTGCTCCCGCGTCTGAAGTACTTGCGAACTCATCCACGGTAGAACAAGGCCACTGTAGGTGTGCCTCCTTTTCTTGTTCGAACAGTCAGCTCTGTTCCTGTACAACCTCCTGTTGCGCATTCGCAAGCTAGTGGCTTAAATGTTGGAGCATATCGTTGGTCGATGTCGACCTTGGTGGTGGCGCGCTTGAAGCTGCACTTGCCCGTGCCCCCCGCGGCCGCGACGGCGGCCTCTGGTGCGACGCATGGGGCATGGCACTTCGTACCTGGTCAAAGGGGCAAGCGTTCCGTGGCGCTGCACTTGTAGCAGCAATGGGCCCCCCTTCCGCTTCACCCCCCACTTGAAGGCGATGGGATAACGATTTGAACCCTTATTCCTTCCGAATCAAGCCAAGACCTTCCCGCACTCGCAGGTGGTTGCCCTGCCGCTCGGGCCCTTGCGCCAAGTTTTTGCGCGCCGTCTGACCTTTACCCGCGGCGCGGCTTGGCGGCGCGACTTGCCCGCACCCCAACGGCTGCCCTCAAGCAGCCTGTCGGCTGTTCTCCAACTCGAAGGGGGCGTCGGAACTGATGGCCTCAGGGTGCGCGTCCATCATCTTGCGCAGCGCAATGGCACTACTTCGGCTGATAACCTGCGTTAAAAAATCTTCAGCCCTCGAGCCAAACACCCCCTGGTTGGTTCTGAATTTAGGCCGCCAATGAAAGCGGCCAGGTTCCGCAAAAGCTATTTGGAGCTTAAGTCCAACAGTGGTGACGAGAATCGAGACCACGGCAGAAGAAAACGGCGAAGCAAACAATGCACGACGCGGGGACGCGCCCGAGCGCGCCCTTTGTTCGCGAGCCATGAATGCCGCGAGGCGCTCTCTTACCTGCGTGCCAAGCAGCGGCAGCGGCAGGATGAAGAGAACAGGGGCGAAGCGGGGAAGGCCGAGACGGACCCACGAACCCTTGAAACCCTCGACGGGGGCACCGCCCAACTTAACACGCGCCAACAGCGAGGGGTGAAACACAAAATGCCACTGGCATAATCAATGCCGCATCCTGTCCAGCGCCTACGCCCACGAATGCACCGGCATCCTGCGCTTTCGCAAGCACCGACATCCCTGAGACATTCCTAGACGCCTTGACGTACAACTGCCACCACGAGCAGCATTGCGAGCTACCGACCCTCATCACCCACTACAACTACTACAAGTACAATGAGACAGCGGAGGACCTCGTCCTCATGCACCAGCCTGCCGCCTGCAGGAGGTTTGAGGCGCTGGAAAGAGGGGGTATGTCATCTCCCTCGTCCTTCCCTGCCCTGGTGGCGCTGAGCGAGAACATTGGCTTCCACGGCACCGCCAGCAGCAGCACCAGCCAGGCCGACAGTGAGGCGACGCCGAAGGACCTCGCCGAGCACACTGGCCACGACGACGAGCCCCGTTTCCTTGCCGCCTGCTTCGTCACCAGCGCCGCTGGCGACTTCGACGAGACCGAGGAGACCGACGACCTTCACAGGCCAGCGGCTGGAGGTACACGAGGATGAGGGTCCGACTCCCTGCCCCGCCGCCGCGGCCGCTCCCCCTCCAGCCGGAGGAGGTGGGGGGGCCAACAGCTGGCAGGGGCGACGCCTCGTTCTCTACTGCCTCCGAAGGGCCGCCCGTCCCCTTGCCCCCTTGAGCGCTCCATCCCAGCGTTGACCAGGGCAGGAGCCCAAGAGAATTCGAGCAGATGGGAATCACCCCTTCGACACCAGTACCTTGACCAGTCGGGGGCGCGCAGGCATGGACTAGCGGTCCATGGATTTGGCGCGCGGTCGCCAAATCGATGAATCGGGTGAGGTGCCCTCCCCAAAATGTAAATCCGCAGTTCCCCATGGAAACGGGACCCATCGCCAATCCACGCCCACGTCATCCATGTTTGCGATCGCCTGAACCAGCGCCTCCGCCAGGAGGTGGGTAAACCTTCAGGAGCTCCCTCTCCCTCCCCTCCTCTGGGGGTGGGCGCGCGTGCACGTGCGCGGGCTGGTGCGCGCGCGCGTTGTGCGAGCAGCCCTGGCCGCACCCGCCCCACAGCTCTCTCCTCGGCCCTCCCATCCTGCGCTCGGTCCGTGCGCTCGGGCCCCCTCGCCCTCCTCGTTCGGCCCCCTGCGTCGCCTCTCCCCCCCTCTGTCCCTCGCCGTCCAGCCT